CAGCATCTTAGCTGTAGAGGGCAGTGTCACTGGCCCTCATATGTGGGATCCGAACTGGGGCCCTCTGGCATCCCAAGCCAGCTCTTAACCATCGCGCCACTCGGTCAGCCCCAGAGCATGCACTCTTAACAACAAGGCTGCTGGTTCGACTCCTGCATGGGATGGTGGCTACGCCCACCTGCAACTAAGATTGAACACAGCACCTTGAGCTTAGAGGCCATGAGCTGCCGACGGGCAGCCAGATGGCAACTGGCACATTCCACAACTAAGACTGAAGAACAACAACTTGGCTGGTCTCCCTCCCCAACTCCCCAACACTGTTGCCCTCCCTAGATTCCCCAATTAAAAAAAAGAGAGAGATGGGTCCTAGGAAACAGGGGATCTCCAGGGTAGCTATAAAGGGAGCCCCCCCAGAAGACACCTGTGCATCTAGTGAGCAATTGGTCCAGACTGGAGGTGGTCAGAAGGCTCTCGGAGGGATTTCTGCAAAAAGAAGACATTTTTAGGATGCCTAATGTGCTTGAATGCACTGAGAGAAGGCTACACAACTGGAAGAAGAGTCTGGATACAGATTTGTAATAAAATAGAAAACCAAGCCAAAAAAAAAAAGGGGGCAATTTTTAAAGTCAGGCAAATAAGTTCAATAAGGAAAGGAAAAGTAATCATAGTACACAATATAACAAAGCTATGAATAGCATTTACATTGTCATAACAACAAACAGTGACTATTGATACGACCAAAATAAAAGTGTAACAATAGCGGGAGGATGGAAAGAAGGAAGTGTGTGAAGAGGAGAGTGAGATGAAAGAAAGCTCTTCCATAATGGAAACTCAAGGAACAGTGCCTAACACTGAGAAACTATTAAGGGAAAATGCAGGCATGTTATTTGGAGCTTTGGAGATAACAATCAGCTAGAAGAGCTGAGTCTGGTTGCCTCTGGGGAGGAGTGAATTATAGGCTGGGGGAGACTATTATTTCAAAGTAAGGTTTATAGAGCTATTTGGGCATTTAAAATGTATTTAATTTTACTAAAAATGACAAAATTTATAAAGATGGAATTCCTTGAATTTATTACTATAACATGTTAAAATCAGCCAATGTGTCAATGCATATAGGACAAATGTGTATTTACATTAAAAACAAAACTGAAAATGGGCCGGCCGAGTGGCGCGTTGGTTGAGGGCTGGTTTAGGATGCCAGGCGTCCCGGTTCGGATCCCACATGTGAGGGCCGGTGACGCTGCCCTCCACAGCTAAGATGCTGAACGGCAGCTCGACCTGGAGCTGGGCTGCCGTGGGTCGCCTGCGATGGCGTGGGCTGCGGCCCCTGCTGCAGTGGGTTGCCATGGGCTACCGTGTGTAGCCAGCAGCCAATGTGAGCGGCCGTCAGGAGGCCGGCAACTGATCGGCCTCACCCGGGAGGAGTGCAGTGATGGTGCCAGCTTGGGCCAGTGGGGCGGCGTCCTCCACAACTAGACTGAAGAACAAAAGGACAGCAACTTGTCTGTTCCCCTTCCCCTCATTCCCCAGCGCTGTTCCCCTCCCCCAATTCCCCAATAAAATCTTAAAAAAACAAAACAAAACAAAAAAACAACTGAAAATGGGGGAAAAAATGCTGACAGTGCTTGATTAGGCCCTTAACACATTCTAACTAGTGTTCATGAAATTATTTTACCTTCTGGACTCTCCCATTTCCAGGTTTGTAAAAGGAGGGTGCTAAACAGATGAGATCTAAGCTCCCTTGAAATGTGTCTACTTAAATGTAGTTCGCTGAATACAGTAAATACATCCTTATAGATCAGCTTCTAAATTAAAGTATGCACAGGGTGTTTCGTTTTAAATGGGCCTCATTTTCAACTGGTAAGGCTAAATGAGGTTTGTTTTACTTAGGGGCAGGATATTCAATAAATCGGCCTAAATAATAGAAAAGCTTCACACAACATTAAATAGATCCACTAGATTTTTAATAGCCAACAGTAATTTCATTAAAAATATCCATCACTTTAAGATACATGTCAAATGCTGATACGAGAAGATAAAATTTGATCATGCTGAACAGTGTGCTCTAAATTTGCAAAATAAGCCACAGTGTGTATGCCAGCGAAGATCACATAGCAGGTATTTCACTTTTATGTGCTAGGAGCCAAATATACTAGATTGAATGCTCTGCTCCAGAGGGCAGCAAGTCAGGTAGTTAGTTCTACGTAACATCCATCTGTGACAAAACCCCAACCCACAAATGAACTTTTTGATTGATTTATGTACAGCCCAGGTAAGCGTAGCTACTCTGTTGATCTTCCATGACCCTTTGAAAACAGGTAGAAAAAATTATTACATGTTGAGGATGTTTACAAGATGGTCTAATTCACATGTATCAGTAACCTGAAACACAAACAAAACAAAGCAAAAGCTATAGGTTATAAACTTTACCCCTGTAAATTAAAATTGAAGTGAGAGATTGCAGGTTGCTTTTGACTCATCCACCCTAAACGTAATTCAGTTAAGATATTTGAAGACGGTACAGTGGAATTGTCCTCAAATTTTGGTACCTGACCATACAAAATGCCTTAGGTGTCACGGTTAGACTAGATGAAATGGCCTTTAGGTCTGACACAGTATTGGGACATAGTAAAATACATTATTATACTCACTCACTGGATGGTTTATACTAGTGGCTTTCAGCTGAGGGTGACTTTGCCCCTTAGGCAACATTTTTGGTTGTCATACTGGGTGGGGAGTTGCTACTGGCATCTAGTGGGCAAAGACCAGGGATGCAGCTAAACTGTCTACAACGCACAGGACAGACTCCACAGTAAAGAATCGCCTGGCCCCAAATGCCAACAGTGCCAAGGTTTGAGAAATCCTCATCTATGTTGATTTTCTTGTGCTACAAAAACAAAAGACAAAATTCTAGCAAAGGCAGTACGACTACTCTAGATAGCAGCGAAGGGTTTTCTGGCACATCACTCAGGTAGAATTTTGAATAACTCACAGCTTTAAATTTTTGGTGGTGGTAAATGTACACTGTCAACTCTAGAATATAAAAAAATTTTTACTTTGCTACCAGACACATTTTTTAAGCTTCTCAAAATTCAATTTGTGAAATTTGACAGCGAACATTCAGTTTCCTCTATTTTAAAAAGTATCAAAGCAAATTAGTTTCCATTTGGAACTGAATGCCAAACCCAGAGTTTGGCCCCTGGGTGCACAGGAGTTGAATCAATGGTACCATACATTTACATGTTGGCTAGAAATATAATAACAGAGGCCTAAGTACCAGAGGCAGTAAGTTATAAAGGTAGCTGAGCCGTAACAGAATCACCTTCGCAGGTGGCGGAGGCATCCCCCATCACCCATGTTAGGACCCTTCCTTCACTCTGTTGTACAAAGCATCACAGTTCAACTGGTAGGAGGCCAGTCTCCCCAGCTTACAAAGAAGTTAGAAAACTCTCAAAAACTGGCCCAGGTAACCAGAACTGGGTCACCCAGGTCAGAGCAGCTGGTTATCTTTTCCTGTTAGGAAAGGTATCACCAGCTCAGGAGAATGAAGACATCTGAGAGGCAAAAGGTAACAAAGTAAATGAAACAGCCTGGCTATAAAGTCTGTCTTAGAAGAGGGCGCAATCTTGGTAGTGGTCTTGAGTTGCCCTTTGGTTGGCCTCTGAAGCACTGCAGTCCTGCAGTAAGCATTGGACCCCAGGATGTACCCTTGAAAGCAAATGTAGAAAAGATGCCACATAAAGCTCTAGCCTAGATCTCAAAAGAGAACTAAAGTTACCTAGGATTAGGACTCCAAGCATCAGTATATGTTAATCTTTCATATTGGGTACATGAGAATTTGTTATAACAATATCTTTATACTTTTTTTATATGGCCGAAGTATGATATAATTTAAAAAGATAGCAAAAAATAAAAAGACTTCAGGAAAGTTACACATGAAATGAAGGTACTAAAGTGATGCTTAATCCTAAAAAGCAATAGTAACAGCTGCAGCTAAATGCCGAGTGGTCACTGTTGACAAAACCAGAACTTCGAGAAATTGATATTTAGTGCCATTTGTGCTAAAGTGGGTCAAAAGCCGGGTGTTGCGGCAGATCTGAAAGCAGAAGTGCTCATGCATAAAATGAAGATTTATGAGAGAAGGGTATATTTCTGCAAACTAACTGAGGAAGAAAAACTCACAGCGAAACAATACACATAAACCTGTGCGTACTCTATCCGGCAGGTGTGGCATGAACCACGCACATGCTTATCCCACCTCACCTGGGCATATTCTGTTGTCCCTCGGCAGTAAACAAATGCAGGACTATTCTTTACAAATTATGAATTTACTATTATCCTTCCAAGATGTATTAGTGTTTAAGTGCAAATCCTGATTTCTTGGGCTAAGGGACAAAGGCTCTGCACTGTGAATTACTAGATCTTAGTCGCTATTGTCACCCCAGGGGCCCCCCACTACAGCTCAGCATTCTGTGTACGTCCCCAGTCACTGCCCTGTCCTGCTTCCCAGGGTGACCACCTATCTCCACTGCTTTCTCAGGAGTTCCTCTCATCCCCAGTTTGCCTGCAGCCCCCTGGGTTCCTTCAGGACCCATTGTAAGCACCTCCACTTCTCCAAGGCCGACTCTCCATGACTCCTAGGAGTGTGTGCTTGTCCTCTTTTGTGCCACCACTGCTCCTACTGTTACATCCACAGGGTGGCTACAACCTTGAAGGGCATCGGAACCACCTGAGGGGCTGCGAACGTGTCTGATTCAACAGGTCTGGGCGGGCCCTCAGAAGCTTCATCTCTAACAAATCCCCAGGCAATGCGATGCTACTGGTGCAGGGAACCCACTCTGAGAATCGGTCTCTATCACTTGATTACATGCTTGTATCTTCCACTCGACGGTGGCCTTCTTGAGGTCAGGGAGCATTTCCTACACATCTCATCTCCAGGGTCGAGCCCGTGTCCAGCAGTCATTCGATCAATCAACAAATATTTAGTGAATGCCTAGTATGTGCCAGGCACTGTTGTAGGCACTGGATTAAGCACTTAAAAAAAAAAAAGAAAAAGAAAAAGATATATATATATATATAATATATAAAATATATAATATATAATACATTATATGTTATATAATATATAATATATTATACATTATAATACACACACACATATTTACAGAGCTTTCTTTCTGGTACTATATGTAAACTCTCAATAAATGTTGAAATCTGACCAGTTGTACAGAAGGAAAATGGCATTATCGTGACCATTTTAATCATGCTATGGAAATCTCAATTTTCCATTTCCTAATCATAGCTTTCCCCATTTGCATGTTTTTCCCTTCTGATATCCTCCCTAACACCTAACACATAAATCCATAAACCTGGCAGTATTCCAGGCTTTTTGGGTCTTGCAAAACATTTACTGATTGATTTAGAAAATATTTGATGTAGTTGACATATTACTAAAAAACAACAAATCCAAGAAAAACTTAAACATATATAATTAATATATGAAAGCAACTGGGGAGAGGTAAGCAAATTTCAGTGTTTTCATATTGATAAATGTTAAAGAACAAATTAACCACTGGCTCTCCCTGAGGGCTCCTCTCCTCCCCTCCCTCTCTATTGTATGCCCTACATCTTGGGTTAAAATGTTTATGGCAGCTCTCAACTGCCTGGTGTGCTGACTTTGGACTCCCAGCGGACCTAAGAAGCCTGCTGTGCAAGCAAGGGCATCTGGTTAACGTTTGGATTGTACTGTGCAATTCTGAGAAACTGGCAGGAGGCCTCATGAAGCCATGTGATGTCATGGAAAGGAAAGGACAATAAACAAGGAAGGGTCAGAGGCAAGGCAGATTACCTTTCTAGCCAGGGGAGCCCTTCCTCGGGATGTCTGCCCCAGGCCTGTGGGCCAGGGGCCATTGCAACTCCCTCCCTAACTCTAGGAAGGTGCAAAACAGGACCCTTCATTTTTGGACTAAGTTTCTGAAAGTTTCTCAGCAGAAAAAAAAAAAAAAAAGATTACCCCCGCCCCTCCCACCCCCAAAAGCAGTTTGGAATGTAACTGAACTGATCATAATGTTTACTTTCAGGACTTTCAGTATTCTTAAGGTTTTAAAATGTTTTTTAAAAGGCCTTGCATTCAAAGCCATGAGACATTCTGTGTTAATTATATGGAGGGAAAAATGGGCAGCATTTCTGAGTGAGATTCTAAAAAGTTAATTTCAATATTCCAGACTAAATATTTCTTTTCTCTTAAGATCAACACCAAATTTCAGGTTCATCATTAGCAATTTCAAGAAGTCAATGCTATCAAACAGTAATACTATCTCAGGATAACATTTTCCTATTGCCAGCCCAAATCAGTGACTTCTACATATCAAAAGCTTTAATAAAAATAACATTAAAAAATATATACTTTTAATAATGAAGACCAGGTCCATCAACTTCATTTATATGATTCAATCTTAAGTAAATTCTTGGGGTTTTTTTGTTTTTGTTTTTTTTTAGCTGAGCCATCCTGTCACCTGTTGGCAGCTCAGCAGCTGCTCAGCTCGGGCAGGGAATTGAACGGCTGTTGCTCAGAGCTTGCACTCTTGAGCGAGCTCTTAACCAACTGAGCCACTCAGCCGGTCCCTTAGGTAAATTCTGATTATTAGAAAGCTTTGGGTATAAACGTGAACTTTTGGTGACTCATACACTGACTCTTAAAAATGGCCCAGTTGCCATTCATTTCCCTGGAGCAGTTTACTAACTGTCACAGTCATAATCCAAAACGATTAATACTTCTTAAAAGGTGTGTAATTCTCTGCTGAGATGTGACCTCTAGTGAACCAGCCTCTTTCAAACTGGCTAATACAGAGCTAAGACATAAAGAAATCAATCCCTATGGACAATTACACTGGTCTCATTCTATTATTGCTACCTCCTTTAGGGTAATAAAAGAACACAGTACTATATTCTGGAAAGCACACCAATCTCAAATAAAAATATTCTCATTAACATCATTCATATGCTGGTAATAAATTAGCTTAAAAAGTTTTTTCAACTTTTCACAAAATCCATCCTTATTTTCCAAATTAACAAGGCTGACTTTTTAAAGTGCAATAAAAATTCTTGAGGTCTTCACTCCAACATAGACAGGCCTTCTTAGTGGTTTCCAAGACACAGCTTCTTGTTCTGGTGCTGTTCTTCGTTCGAAAGGCTGGGTCTTGCCACACCATCTAGCATTCAAGGATAACTTAATGTTAGGAAAACTTCACTTCAAATATATGGGTATTTGTTAAAGTCATATAGGTTGTAAGAGCAAAATAAGGCTTAAGTTAAAAAGGAATATTCATTTTATTTTATATTAAAATTCTCAACGGTTGAAGAACAGATTCTAGATAACTCACTGAGGTAATACCATATCTGACCTTTAAAAAACTGGGTTCACTCAACAGGGTCAGGCCAACAATTCACCAAATCTTTTTCGAAAAAAAGTTATTATTTTATTAGGCTGGAAGAAAGAAAATGCACCTCTTGATCCTCCAAGGAGAGGAGGGAGCTGTCTATGGGGCAGGGAGAGCATGAGGGAGTGCTCGGCTATTGCCACACTCCTCCACTGGAAGGGAGACAGGCTTTGCTCACTGCTCAAGTGGGAGAACAGCTTGGCTGCAACCTCTTTTGAGAGCTTGACTGGGATAATAAGCTGTGTGTGTTTAAAGTGTACAATTTGATGAGTTTTGATACATCTGAGAAACCATCACCACAGTCACGGTGACGAACACATCCATCACCTCCAAGTTTCCTTCCGCCCCTGCCTCCCGTCTTTTCAGGGCTCTGGCTGCCCTCCAAGCCTGTCTTCTGCTCAGCGCTTTCTTCCGAGTCATAAGGGCACCTGGATCAGGGTGCAGTCTTGCCTTCCAGAGGTAGATCTGGAAAGCCTAGCCTGTCGTCTTCTTATGTAATATTTGAAACATAAAAACAGAATATATATATATGGGAATTTTAAAGCCTACTAATAAAATGAATACTCTAGAGCAGCGGTTCTCAACCTGTGGGTCACGACCCCTTTGGGGGTCGAACGACCCTTTCACAGGGGTCGCCTAAAACCATCGGAAAACAAAAAATACTTACATTACAATTCGTAACAGTAGCAAAATTACAGTTATAGAGTAGCAACGAAAATAATTTTATGGTTGGGGGTCACCACAACATGAGGAACTGTATTAAGGGGT